TAGTTTACATGTTCTCGTGGATTTAATTTAGCGAATTTTCTTATCAACGAAAATTGCAAAAAACAGTGAATAATTAGTTTGTTTACAGTATAAAAGAGATGAAACTTGTGAAACAGTCAACCGGTTAGTTTGAACTGGAATTTGAAAACACAAGTCGTTGCATTATTTGATCTTGTTATTCACCAAATAATGGAATAGTTCACAAAATGAAAATTGATGTCATTTTTACCGTAATAGCGAAGTCGAAACAAACTCAACTGGTATGCGAATTAAATTTCAACGACGGCAATGTTATTCTTTACATATATTTTCATCAGACCTTACTAAAAATATATTTCTTCCCATTGGTTTGAACCAATTTAGTGAACAGCTCAGTGGAGATGTACACTTTTCAACAACAAAACACAGTTATTAGATTAATCTGCGCGTCGATAGACAATATTATATACTCACTCAAAGTCAACTAGATTTATTGGATAACAAACACGTGGTCTATAGTGTGGAGTGTTCCGTATACCATACTCCAAGCAAGTAAAAGGAATCTTGTCGGCACGGCAGTTAATATTTAATTGTAACGGAAGACTGACCTACCTATAACTGAAATCCTCTGTGACTATCTGACTAACTTTTATAGCATATTTTCAATTAGCAATTCAAATTAGATCTAGAATAATTTCAATAGACGTGAACAGTGTCATATTGCATAATATATAGCATTATATTCGGCGAACAGCTGATCAATTGCACCGGTTCCTCGGATCATAAGAATATTGAAATTCACCAATTTACTTCCGTCGAGATTAGTTATTAGCTGTTTTGTGCCTATACCGATGACAGGTGAATTTGTAAAACTCTTATCTAGTTCAAAACATGGTATGTTCTCCCCGTAAGGGCACCTCCATATAATGGTCGGCAGATTATTCATAAGTGTTTTCCCACATTTATTTTGAAACACGCGCGTACGGACGTTACGGGAGACACCCTAACAGAGTATGCCAGTATACATGTTAACCTCCTACCAACGAGCCTTCGTCTCGCGCCCAGTGGCCGCGGTGGCACTGGTGAACTGTCGTGACCGCCCCAGCATACTAATTTCACTTGACTCCCCAAAACATGTGGCAGCTGTCCTGTTTAACATTTATTGAAATATAAATACATTTCTGACTCTGAATAAATATAATAATAGGACATTAATTAAAAAGAAAGGACCAGGTCTGGTAATTCAATTTTAAATGAAATTAACATATGTTAACATTTTCGACAATACACGTTAAAGATAAATAAAACGCGAGAGAGAGAGAGAGGGTACAACATTTTTCAATTTTTTTAAAGGGGCATTCTTTTACAAAATGAATAAAGGGGCCCATTGATTTTTTTGAAAAAGCACCAAGAATTGCCCCCCCCCCTCGGAATAATAAATGGCCATTCCCTTATCAAATGTGGATGACATTATTTTGTGCTTTATTTTGGTGACTGTTATTTAATTTATAAAACAGGGTATTTTCATTTCATGTATACCCGTTATATCGACACGCTATATTACACTGTCACCTAAACGTGTATAAGTATCTGTGTCCCATTATTAATATTACAGATTTGTGAGTCGTAAATCATTTACCTAAATGATGGTTGTCTCCGCGCAGCGAGTGTTCGAATTTCATGTAAAATAAATGCATTTGTTTGCGTTGTGTACATCTCATATCGAGCAGGGCGAGGCACGACGACTTTAGTACGGAGACTGAAAACAATCCAATCCTTGAGAATCTTCAGCATTACAGTGGGGAAAATTAATTCATTTGATTCCCTCAATGTAGCTCCAGGGAAATACTACTTGAAGGGCGGCAGTCGTCGTGCCGCGTCCTGTTTGATATGGGGCTCATAGCTCTTGGGTCATTCTAATCTGGATCTGGAACCTGCTTGCTTGCAAATGTTTATTATTTGATATTCAATTGCACTATATTTAGTATATATGTATTCAGTCAGTGAATTATCATCCGTTTATTCATAGCTCCCTTAATCAATCATGATGCGTATATCTATATATGGAGTAACAGTTAATTTCTTTTCAACATATCCGGTATGGAAATAGGTGAATTTATTATATTCTTTTTCAGATCGTGTCTCTATTTAAGAATGAACAAAAAAAAAACCTGGGCAATCGCTCCGAAATTCTGTGACTATAAATTGCCATTAGGATCATTGACTTTTCACAGACGTTACATTTACCGGTCACTACCTAGAATCGTTCGTGGATAGCCGCTCACTTCTATACTATCCATACTATACATACATGTAAAAAAAATGTAAAAATAGTCCGTGAGGACAGCATAAACGGCGTTTTTATGGCTGTTAACAGTCGATTCCAAAACAACTCGTAACCTTAAGTGCTTTAGTATACGTATAGGCACAAGAGCAAAATACACTGCCAATATACAACGAAGCCTACATGTATAAGTTTGTACACCGTTACATTGGGCAGTTCATATACAGTGAAAACGACAGTATAAATTAAAATAAATAATCAGTCCCAGAAAAACTGAACCATCAAATAAACATCGATAACGGGAATAAACGTACATCGCTGAGTCTACAATGAGTTCTGACAGGTTGATTACAGTCTGGAGCTATTCTATTGAAATATGAGCTCTGATCCCAACTAAAACAAACTGTGGACACTATACTAT